TTATATTTTTTATAAAATTAAAAATATTTTATAAAATATTTTAATATAATTTATTATTAATATAAATAAATAAATACAAAATTATTTTTTTAAATTTAATAATTAAATAATAAATTAATTAAATATATAAAAGCTAAATTAATTATTTAATAATTTAAATAAATTAATATTTCTTTAAATAATTTAAAAAGTAAAATATATTTTAATATAATATAATAAATAAATTTTTTAATTATAAATAAATAGTTTATTAAAAATTTAAAAAATTTAAAAATAATAATAAAATTATAATTAAATAATTAAAAACTATAATTAAATATTTATAAAATAAAAATTTAATAATAATATATTAAATAAAATTAATTATAATAAATATAAATTTTTTTTAATTTATAAATTAAAAAACCTATAAATTTTATTATATATTTAAAAAAAAAATAATACTTAAATATATTTTTAAAAATAATTATAATAAAAATAAATAATTATTTTTAAAGTAAATAAATAAACTAAAGGGTAATATTAAATAAAAAAAGTTTATTACTTTTATTTAAAAGTATTTATAAAAATATTTCTTTTAGTTAATTAAAACATTTAAAAAGTTATATATCTTTAAAGTTACACATTTATATTAAAAATATTATATATCCTTATTAATTGCTTATTTAAATATATATATATATATATTTACTAATATAAAAGCCTTTTATTTACAGGCTATTATAGGTTACATTGGTACTTTTGTAACCTCACTTTATATTACTTTACTAAGATAGATTGTTACGTTTGTGAAATATACAAACAGGGATCGGGGTGTGTATTCAATATCGGTGTGTAGTAATCCTAGCCATTCGGCGGTTCCGACCACTAGGTTCTACCCGCTGCGTAAATCAGCATGCCCTACCCCAGCTAATCTACAGTTCCGATCACCGACACCGAAGTCCATAGATGTAAGCGCTCACGTAACTTTACCAGGGGTTAAGGAACTTTCTTGGAGTTTCGAACTAGTAGGAGTAAAGGATCTAATTTAAATCGCCGATCGCTACCTGCCTTACGCAGATACTTTTGCCTGCTACGTTTTTTCCCTTCAGGGGTTTTTTCTCTTTATGTTAGCCTGCCAAAATAGGTAAATTGGGACGTTTTGTAATGTGTCTGTCTCAGCTTGACGGATATCAAGAAAAGTAGTGGTTTTTGCTATTAACAGTTAGTCCCATGAGGGTACTTCAATTTCGCTAAGTAGCTTTACATACCTCTTTGTTATACTCGTACTTGTCAATAGCACATATACTTATACCAGTAAGTTAAGCTACTGCGTATATAAATACTATTTAAAATTATTCAGCTGGATTAAAGTTATCTAATTTCACTAGGGCTCTCCTTACCTAATTAATACAATTTATCTACAGTATAGGTTATTCATTAAGCTAGGGTAAATACTTTACAACGCATCCCTATAAAATTTGTATCTTTCCTTAATTATAGCGAATAGGGGTCAATACTACGGCTACTGGTTAATAAGCTCGTGTCTGGCTAGGACGGTTTCGAAGGAACAAGACCACATGGAAGTGGCTAAGACAAACAGGGTTTCGATAATAGGCGGTGAGATAAACTAACCAGAGCTCAGATAATACCCTACCCTTGCTCAAGCCGCCTAGTCTCTGGCTGGCCCACATGTAAGACTATTGCCTACAAAGTTCTATTGAGGAATAGATTAATGAATTGACATTGGAATCAAGGAACTGCTAAATATCGGTCTTTTCCAAACATACTAACCTAAATACTACAAAGTGGGTATTCAGTAATGGCATAAAGCCATACTTCACTAGACGTTAGTTTTCTTGTTCTTTAGTGCTATCTTTAAATAGTTACAAGAGCAGTAAAAAACTGGATGTCCGACTTCATTATCGTTTCGGGGGAGAACCTATAGGCGCAGCGGTATTTTGATGGTATCGAGTGGGCTTCAACAGGGTTGTATTGGGACTAATGCTTGACTGATGCTACTTCTCATTACATTGACTGGGACGTATTTATAATCTTACGTGAGGATTACGCCCGCTAATGTCTGAAAGTTTTCCAGACAATTGGAGTCAGGTCCGTGCTGTCACAAGCCCAATTGAAGGAGGCGGGCAAGGACTCCGCCAGTGTTATAAGACTAATGAGTTGGATGATATTGGACAACTTTTGAAACTTGTTTTGTTATATCCGAGTTAACTGCTGGACGCATACAGATACTCTGAAACTCTACTCCTTGCAAATCCCTCTCCCAGACATCAATGATGGCTGAGCAACCTTCAAACTCAGTCAAAGCGGCGGTATCGGTAAAGCCTACATTGCTTCGAAAGGAATACACTCCGCCAAAAGGCCTGCTGTCAAAAATACCCGCATCATGGGTGCCCTACGGCGAATTGATCCGTCTGCACAGACCAGAGTTCATCTACTTTATCTACGCACCATTCATCGTCGGCCTCGCATATGCTTTATGCATCAACAAAGAGCGTGTGCCGGCTTTCACCCTCGCTCACCGGGCGGGAGTGCTCTTTGTTTGGACCTTTTTTCTACGTAGCTCTGGCTGCGCATGGAACGATAACATCGATCAAGACTTTGACCGTCAAACGGAGCGTTGTCGAAACAGGCCCATCGCTCGAGGTGCCATAACGACAACCAAAGGGCATGTTTTCACTATTGTCCTAATCTCGCTTGGCTTCTTATCAATCCGATCTCTGCCTTTTGAATGTACCCTGGTTGGCATAGTTACCTATGTACTCACCATCATATATCCATTTGGCAAACGCTTCACCAACTTTCCCCAAGTTATTCTTGGGTCAGTTTTGGCCATGGCTATTCCACTATCTTCATACTCGCTGGGCTTGCCGGCCTTGTCCCCACCGCACATTGTACCGACAGCATGCCTGAGTGCCGCGATCGTATTCCTGATCGTTTTCTACGATGTCCTCTACGCCTGCCAGGATATTGAGGACGATCTAAAGTCCGGCGTTAAGGGAATGGCAGTGTATTTTAGAAACTATATAGAACCACTCCTGATTACTGTCACCGGATTGATTACTGGATGTCTGGCAATGATGGGCAAACTCATAGATATGGGCCAGCTCTTCTTCATGTTTTCGGTCATTGGCGTTTCAATGTCCCTTCTCTTCCTCGTTGCCATTGTTCATTGGAAGATCCTGCCCAGCTGGTCTGGTTACTCTGCTTGGTTCTACGCTCTCGCAATCGTCAACCTCGCCGGTGGGTTTACGCTTGAATATTTTACGAGGGTTGTTGAAGGTTTGTGATGGACTTGTGGGATTGGTTAGAGTGCAAAACAGATCATCGAGTTATTCACTATGGGATCTGTTGTTCCAGCTACCCTTATTCCAAGCCAACATTACATTCTAACAGACTACTGGGAAGGTTGAATTCATCATGATAATAGCCGGATTCGTAGTCTATGGCCTTCATTACTTCCGAAAGCCTCGGAATAGCCGTTTTCAATGAAATCCAGCGACTCAAACCCTGTTTCCATTAGTCATTCCTTTATGTATTAAAATAGCTAGATTTCCTATCCCTCTGACATCAGCCAGAGAGTCGAATACACTTATAAGCAATATCTTTTTATATACTTCAATCGTGTTGTCTTGTGATTGATAGCATACCTATTCACCTACCTACCTGCCAAGGTATCATAACCTCCCTCATATATCTACAGTACCCCCACCTTTTGGGTGCCGACCACTAAAAAACTGCCAAATCTTCTTAACTGGTTACCAAGACAACAATGCATCTCCAACTTGAATACCGCCCATCCGAGCAGGGAGCAGCAATGGCCACCGCTGCTGTTGCCCCCGACACTCGAAACATCCCACTCCAACTGACCGCCATCGCCAGTGGGACTCACCACTCGGCTTGTAACCGAGGGCAACTAAATCACTCTCCCGTTCTTTTCAAGGAAGAGGAAGGCAACGGCCGATCCTCGACATCCCAGGATAGCCCTGACTTAATATTATAGCTATTAAAGTACGTAATAGTTAAAGCAGAGTTGTACCTATAACCCTATAATTATATATTTATATTCCTCCTGCCCCCATATTTCCCTGCTCCCCCCTTTTCCCCACCCAGGCGCAACCCCCAATAATTGTGAGAATTTAAATGCCAACGGGGTTTTCGGATACGTGTTGGATACATCTGTGGGGGATAAGCATTAGAGGCCTGCATAACGATATTTTCAAATTAGTCCAGTAATACTGTTGTGTAAGCATTCGCCTTAAAATATTCATTATCCTAAAGTACTTTTGTAGATATGTGTAAATATTAAATCATGGGTTCGTTTGACAAGTAGTTGGTGTTATCCTTTTCGTTATTTATTTTATTCGTAAAATAGTAACCTAGTATACTAAGCTACTTAATGACAGTTTGTAATTGCTAAGCAGTCGCTAGTAGCTTTTAAGAAACAGTGTAGATTTAATAATAGATTCAATATTTATGAAATATAAATAGTCAGTGTAAGAATAACTAAAAGGAACTTATAGGCGGTTTTAAAGTAGGTAACTACTTGGTGTCAGGAGCCACAGCGCAAAGAGAAGAGTAATAGGATCAAAGAGATAAAGCACAGTAGACTAGCACGGACTTCGCAGCTAGGTAGAGCACAAAGACTGCATTTATCTGTGACCTCCCCTTGAACATAGAGGAGAACACTTCCTTTTATATCTGTGCTCACGCTATAGCTTGTTAGTTTAAACTTTTTTGCATCCTCGCTGCTAATCAACTCATTTGTTTTTGACAGATGCCTCACTTATCACTTAATAAATAAGGCTTTAGCTTTAAAAACACACTAATAAAGCCCTACTACAATGCATAATGATAAACTTTAGATGATATAATTTTGTTTATTTGAAGAGCTATATGCCGGTGATCGCCATATTATTGGATATGATATGATGCATTTATTACAGACGGTATGCTAAAACTGTGTGGCTATAAGATAAACGGTTCCTTCAGACTCAACATTAATCATTCATGTAAATCCGTTATTAAAGCAGAACTCATCAGTTCTATAAGCGACGTGGTGTTAATTGAAAGATCAACTGAGGTTTCTGCCACGCAATATATGCTGTCTGGTCCCGTTCCCAGATCAGATCACGATTAATTATCTCAAAATCGAAGTTCCAAAACAGCTTGCTAAGCACTAGCCGCATTTCCAACATAGCAAGGCTTGAGCCATTTGCTGATTAGCGTGAATGAATCATAAAGGAGATGGAGAAATGACTTACTTTCTTCCAATACAGCCACGTGGTCCCAAGAGAAATGGCTGGCTTTGATCTCTGAGATCCGGGCTAGACCTGCTTAGCCAGCGTTCGGGCTTGAAAGACCATGCATCAGGAAAATTGGCTTCTAAATGAGTCAATGTCCAGGATGGTACGGATACGTATGTCTAAGTAAACGTCAGCACCACATCAATCCAGTTCAAATAACTACAGTTCATGTACACACTTTATCAGGAACATATATGTCGCCCATCATCGCGCCACCTTTAGGAGCGAGACGGGGAGCACCAATGGGCAGCGGTGGATAGAGCCGTAAACCCTCTTCAATAACTGCTTGAAGATACGATAGTCTCTGACAACTGAGATGTGTGATTTCCTTCTCTTCTTGGAAAGTGTTTCTGATCTCATTGGCGAGGATTTTATAGGCCTCGGGGTTTTTACTCAGGTAGTAGCAAATTCCAGAGAGAGACGTAGCAGTTGTATCACTGCCGGCTAACCTATGTATCCGAAATTAGCTAGGAAACTTCTGAATCCTGATCTCAAGTCTTACACTAGAGATGCCGTATGTGCAGATATTTCTTCCACTGTGAAAGAACTAATTATACCCTCCCGATCAAGGCACGATATGAAATCCTTTCTCTCGGCCGTTGACTGTAACCGCCTGTGTCATAGAATATATCAGCTTCGTCATGCAGTAAGGCAAGCCCAAGGAAACTTACTTGGAAACTTTCCCTCTTGAGTATGCCATATGCTTCGCTCCCTGTTGGCGGAGACTAGCGGGAAGAAAATAATGGTACGTCTTATTTAGTAATGGGAAACTTCGAATTCCCCATGCAATAGCTAAAGCCTTGACGCGGCCCAGAATGACAGTAATCCAGTCGTCCATTTGTCCTATGTTAAAAAATTCATTAACATCTCAATAGATAGAGTATTCACTAGAAAAATACGTATTATATACCTTGAGATAAGCAGTTGAAGCTTTCACCAAATGACAACTCGCCAATAATGTCAAAGGTAAAGAAATTAAACCAGTGGATAATGTTAAACGGCCCCTGCTTGGCTTGGTCTCTTAGCTTAACCATTAGTTTATCGACGTACATTTGTATAATATCCTCCTGCTCGGATAATGCTCTGTCAGAAAACGCGTGGGATAATAGTCGCCTCACACCAGCGTGTCGATTAATGTCCGTGATGGTTACAATGCTTTCTGTCTGGCCAAGTGGGCTAGAATACAATCTCGGATCCTTGGTGAAAGTTTGAGCAGTTGGATGATGACCATAGACATCTTTCAGAGCGGTTGGATGGATACAAGAGAGCTCATTCGGTCCAATTCGTATTGTTTCCCCTATAGATATGATGTGTTAGTAAGTGTTATAAAGTAACAAAACATCAACTCACCATATTTCTTGTGCAATTCATCTATTATTTTGTGATGATTCCCTGATACAACTAATCTGAACTTATACAGCTGGATTTCGTTACACTATGTCAATAAAACAGTTCTTCGATTCGGGGACCTCGGGACGCACATATGTGACTGCGGCCAGCCATGGACCTGGAAACTTGGACAAAGGATGAAAATAAATCTGGTAAATAATACGCCAAATACAGTATATAATAACCTAGAATTCAGAATTGATATTAGAAATCCACAAACAACTGAGTGTAAGAGAAGATGATGGAAAGTGATCCAATTTGAGACTTACTGCCTGAGCACAGGCGGCAAAAGCTGTAGTTAGGGGCATGCCCGTAAGATTAGAATAAAGAGTCTCCAACATCTCAGTGTTTATTAATTATGACAATATTGTGTGAAGAAAGTTACAGTGGTCAACTATTAGACGTAAATCTTATATAGAACAGCTTTGTAAGATTTTATATATCGAAAATAGAACAGATAATCGTAATAACCTTGATCAAAATACGAAAATTTTTATTACAGATCATGGGTAAATGCTTATCACAGATTCACCGCTATTTGATCTTGCTAACTCCGAGCCCTATAAAACTCCGGTCTTCTATATTACTGGTATAGGTACAAGGGGGGTGCAAAAATCACCGCCGCCTATCACTTACAATTTTATGATGCAGGCCGGCGGTGTTTTTTGCATCTCGCATGGGGTAGTGGAAAGCGCTAATGACCCCTTGCCATCAGCATCACATCCCTGACCCCAGTCGCATCTCATCAGCATCACATCCCTGACCCCATTCGCATATCAATGACGAGGGTGCCTGCGCAAACAAGGATTTGCCCGCATGTGGGACATGTATGTCATATATGTGGTACCCAGGCTTTGACTTTTGTGCACTATGCTTGGTAAGAAAAGTGCCGATGATACTAGGGAGCACGAAGAAAAGAGATATCCACAGTGTACAGTAAGACTAAGGATGATTTCCCCCCATCTCATTCCCAACACACAGCAAGCACTGATGTATAGCCCCCTTATTTGGACACAATTGCTAGCGCAAGACCCACAGCATCGTATTATTTTAGAATCAATTATATATAAGGACGCTTGCCACATAGGCCATAAGTTATGAGGGAAATAAATAGCAAACAGGTATATGTTTAGCTCTTGTGAGGAAAAATGACCACTCCATTATTTTTGGGGACAATTATCAGTCTTTGTGTTGCAACTGCGCTGTTCTTCCGTTACTGGCGGCTGAGACAAATTCCTGGACCAATTTTGGCATCGGTGACCAACCTTTGGCGATTCAATATCCAATATCGCGGTCCTATACTACCTTGCCTTCTAGATCTACATCGGAAATATGGAAGCCTGGTAAGAATAGGCCCAAATACCATCAGCGTCAGTGATGCAGCCTATGTCAGCGCGATTTATACAAATAAAGGCGATTATGTAAAGGTAAGTTTAGTACAGAAAGCCGAAACTCATGATTGGGAAGGCTAAAAAGAAGAGATATATGCAGGCAGACTCATATGAGCCGATGAGAGTCTTTGTGAATGGCCAATCAGTAGGAAGCATTGTTGATATGCAAGATGAGGAACAGCATCGAGCGTTGAAACGATCTGTTGGCGGCGCGTTTACGAACAAAAGCCTACAAGAGTACGAGCCTGATGTGGACATGATCCTAGAGAATCTCCTTGCACGAATTGGGAAAAAATCAACTTTTGTTCTCCATGATGTCCTGCAGTGGTTCCAGCTAGACTTTCTCATGAAGATTGCATTTACGGAGTCACCTGGGCATCTACAACATGGAGCCGACGTGTACGGATTATCAAAGCTTACTGCACAGCGAATTGCACACTGGTACACTTGGCAAAGCCTCCCGCAGTTAGAGCGCTTCATATACCGAAATTCTGTTTGGGGTAGATTCCTGGCTCGGCCATCTAAGTGGGCCAAAATGAGTAAGGAACGGTTCAACGCTCGTGTGGCGACCACTCACGATCGGCAAGAGATAGAACGGAGAGATCTTTTACAGAAATGCATCGACTACAGCGAAAAATACCCCGATGTTCTCAAACCGCAAACAATCACTAGCGTAGTGAACTCGATTATCTCGGCCGGCACGGACACTACATCTGGGGCAATGACTACGATGCTGTACTTTTTACTCAAGTCTCCGTCTTGTTACAAATCACTTATGGACGAGCTGGATGATGCTCAGAAATCTGGCAAACTTTCAATTCCTCCCCGATACACAGAGGTTAGCCGTCTGCCGTACTTGGACGCAGTGCTCAGAGAGGCTCTTAGACTTAACCCGGCTCTCGCTATTCCCATGGAGCGAATTGTCCCCTCATCGGGTTGTTCTATTAACGGCACCTTTATTCCTGGCGGCACAGTAATTGGATGCCTTGCTATGGCTATACACATGGATCAAACGTGCTTTGGAAAAGATCCAGAACTATTTCAACCGGAGCGCTGGTTAAATAGATCGGATGCAGAGCGCAGTGCTATGGAACGAGGCTTTCTTGGCTGGAGCGCCGGAAGTCGAGCCTGCTTAGGTCGACAAATTGCAGAGCTAGAGATAAAGAAGGTCATACCAACTTTGCTGCTCAAGTATAATGTAAGTTGCATTCATCTTTATGAAAAAGCATCGCATTTTAGACATACTGATAAAATTGGTTTGCATAGATAAGTTTAGACAACCCTGAGCAAACCTTGCAATTTGTTAATGGTGTCCTAGAGTATGGTTCAAATCCCATCTCTGTGACATTTAATACTAAGACTCAATAAGAGGTTCATAGAATGGTGTAATTATGTATTCAAATCTTTGTTTAATATGGAATATAAGGTTTAAAAAAATAACAATGTAAATATAAAAAATATTAAACAATTAAATAAATTACATTAGTTATTATTTTATTAATAATAAATATTTATTTAATTAATAAAATTCTTAATAGTAATTTTTTAATTTATAATAGTTTTTATATATTTAATTACTTATTTAAAATATATAAAATATTTTTACTAATATATTATATTGTTTAATAATAAAGAAAATTTATATTTTATTTAATAAATTAATAATAAAGTAAATTAAATATTTAACTTTATATTTATTATTAATTAATTTATTATAATAGTAATATTTTATAAAAATTAATATTATTATAATAACTATTTATAATTTCCCAGTCCCTATTCTTAATATAAAGTAAAAGTTTTTAAAATAATAAGCTTAAGTTATAGGTTTATATTAGTAAAATATAATTAAAACTATATGGAGGTTAAATTTGATATTAAAATAAAAGGTTTAATGCTATAACAGCTGGTTTAATAAAAAGCTATACCCTAGCCTTTAGTTTAAAATTTAAAATTAATCTATAGCTTAATTTAATTAATAACAGTTAATTAAACTAAATTTCAGAGATTTAGGCTATATTATTAACAAAAGTATAGAAAATATAACTGTTTATTAAGGTTTAAAACTAAACTTAAAATATATATATAAAAATATTTAAATAATAAAGTTTAAATATAATATAAAAACTTTAAATTATAGTTTAATAACTTAATTAAAGTAAAAAGGTTAATTATTTGTTAAATAATAAAAAATAATAATAATCTGTAAAAATAAATTATATATTCTTTTTAAAATTAAAAAATTTAATAAAATAATATAATATAAAAGTAAAAAATCCTTATAGTAAAAAATAATTTAACAGCTAATTAAAATTATAAATAGCTAAAATAGCTAAAGGTAATAAAAAACTATTTATAATTATAGTAAAAGTAATAGCTACTGTAATAAAAACTTATAATAAAAACATAATTAATATAGTAAAGAAGGTATACTAAAGCCTTAAGAATAAATAAAGTAAAAAAGGGTAACTTAAATTATTTATAAAAGAAAAAACGTAAATCCACTAAGCTATTAGTTAATAACTAATAATTAAAAATTTAATAATAATTATTTTAATT